CAAAGCAACAACAAAACCCCGAAACACAACAGAAAAAAACGAAACAACCAAATCCAATATTTCAGCCTATTGACTGCCAGGCAATGGAAACAATAACAACACCCCGACGGTGTTGTTGGTGTTACAGTCTGTGAAGAAGAAAAAACCGTAATACCACACATGAGATGGACATATAACAAACACACTAAGCCACGGCTTAAATTTAGTTACTCCATCTCTTTTACTCCCATTTAATACCGGTTCGTATGGCAAATACAAGATAATATAAGGCGCTCTTGTTATTTAAGGGGATAGAAAATTCTCTCGCACACACACAACTTAGTTGAGCCTCATTTACTCTCTCCCATTATCAGTTGAACTGAGTCAGTTGGCTTAACTTACCTACTGGTGAATTTCAAAGCCTCACTCATAACGGAGTTTAACTGGTTTACCATACACTCTCTTTCCTTTACAATTATAAACACTCTCTCTCTCTCTCTGTCTTTGCATGTGATCTGGTTATTTATAACGGTTTGCTCTGTTAAATTAGTTTCAACCAATCAAAAGCAGTGAAATTAATGAATGAACAGCTCAGCTGGACAATGGTGGCAATGTGGTGGTGCTGGTGTTGATCTTTGTTTGGGGTTTTTTTTTTTCTTTTATATGAGTGTAAATGAACTGAGAGTAACTATAATAACAGAGGTAAAACTAGTTTCTGTTGATTTTTAGGTAATGCTTGGCAAAAAGAAATATAATTTAACAGAGGTAATTGTATGTTAGAATGAAATTATAAAGGGCAAGAAAAAAGAGAATTTTAAGAGAATATTAAGAGAATTTTTGTTGAATGACATTTTAACATGGAAATGAAGGCAAATGTTATATTTATTAACAGAACGTTTTAAAGGGAAGCAAAGGCTGTTGATAAAAACTATTATGAAGATGTAATCGAGCAAAAAATTCTTAAAAATCAAGGGAATTTCTAAAAGAGACTGAGAAACAAAATTATTAAAAAAATCACAAGATTTTTAACGATAGGAAATCGTGAAGTATTTTAATTAAAGATATATCTATAAAATATCTATATAAAATACCTAAAAAAACGTAATAATAAAAATATTTTTTTTAATTATTAAAACACCCGCAGATTTCTAAGGATAAAAAATCTTATATTTTTAAAAAAATCTAAAAGATCAACTAATTTTACAGAAAATCTATTAAATGAATACAATAAATTCACAAGAAAAAAAAATTCGTACAAAACCCAATTATTTAAAAATCGAGATATTTTTAAGGATCCAAACAGAAATCTTGAATTATTTAAAATAAAGAATTTCCAAAAATTCAAAAAATTTAAAGAATTTTAAATAACAACGAAGCTTACAGTCAATCTGTTAGAAAATACAAATTCTTTAAATTCACAGGATAAAAATCCCCTACAAAATCTTACAAACCCAATGTTAGTGGGTAAATATTAAAAAAAAAATCACGAGATTTTGAAGGATTCAAAACCAAATCTTAAATTAAAAAATAAATAAATAAAAAATGTAAAAAATAAAAATCCAAAAATAATTACAAAACCCAATGTTAAATGTTAAAAAAAATCGAGATTTTTAGGAATCCAAAAACAAATATTAAATTAAAAAATAAATAAATAAAAAATGTAAAAATACAAAGAATACATTTTTAGAATAATGAATTCTGAAAGATAATAAAATATAATAATATAATAAAATACCCACCTACTTCCGATGGACCCCGAGAACAAACACTTAAGGGTCGGGTTCTCCTTAAGGGATTACTTTTCCGATATTTCGGTTTGATTAATTGAGATGGTTTCTACTTGACTACTTCGATGTCTCTGAGGGTTTCCATAGACATTTAAAAAATCCACATGCCCCTAGAGCACCTCACAAGTACACATTTTCCGAACGTTTGTTTTGAAATGTAACGCTTTGGAAGGACGAATTTGACTTGACCGAGGCATTTGTCCTACATATATTAGATTTCAAAAAAAAAAATTTGTGGTCCATTTTACCCGCTAAATATTATCCAATGGCCATCCAAAATTCTGGGCTTCTGCCCTGTTCTAAACTCTTTCCTCATGCGAATTCCCGTATCAATTGGTCTTTATTTGTGACCTGTACAGCGACTGCAAAAACAGGATTTTTTCAATTTTTGGCCCATTTTAACTTTTAAATATTTTGCGATCATTTTCAATTCCTAATAACTTTATTTTGGCTTGAAGTCGATTGAAACATCAGTTTTTTACTTGCAGGGAAATATATGCTAAGTATAGACGGTGAAACACGACTCTTGCATTTCTCAATAAAATATATCCCCAAAGATGTCGAAATATTGGAAAATAATAATCAAAATTATGAAAAATAAAATACTGATGTTTCAATTGAGCTCAAGCCAAAATGAAGCTATTAAGAATTCATATACAACAGGTCAAAAATAAAAATCTAACAACATCATCTTCAAAAATAATATAATATTTTACTTTTGAACTCTGTTAGACTTTTGGCGAAAAAAATATAATTCAAAATTTATTGAAAAAAATGTTATTTTATTCTCATAGACAAGAACCATTTGTTTATTTCACTTTATTAAATTTCAATTATTTCTTTAATTTCTTTAAATCAATTTATTTTAAATTCATCAATTTTTACCCTTTTATTTTGTAAAAATGCTTTAAAATACCTTTCAATAATTAATTTATCATAAAAGACTTAAGAAGCAAACTTCATTTACTTAGTTAAGCTCTCATCTCTTCAATTCGTCGATAAAATCCCCTTTGCATTACAAAAGACTTAAGAAACAAACAGCAACGAGTCTGTTAACCCCTCAACAGTTCATTAATGCATGAGAACTCAATTTCATGCCATTAGAAGAGAAGAGAAAACAAATGTAAATAACTCTCACAACAGTACTCTGTTAGTCAATGCATTTCTGTTGTTTCTCTTTAGCAATGGACTTAGTCCGTTGCTTAAATCTCGTTTATTTACATTCTCTGTTATTTCTCTTTCCGCCTCTGTTTTCATACAGAGAATATTACTGTGTTATTATTGGGAAATGTTATTGTATTGGGTAGCATCTTCATTGATGTTATTATTCAGAGGGGTGCTACTATTTATTTTTGTATTAGATCTTTGTGAGTCGGCTCTCTTCTCAAAGGGGACAATAACAAAAAATAAGAGTATCATAATGAATTGTTTGTGTATTTCTATTGAAAATATAACAGGGATGCTAGTTTTAAGGCTGTTAGCCAATGGATCATCATTGTTAAGAGTATTTTTGATGGGATTTTTAAGACATTGTTTTTGATTGTTTTTTCTTCTTTTTTTCAGAATAGTTGTTTTTGTCACAGTCCCCCCATAAATAGAGTAGAATTGTCTGATATTTGGAATAGAGTCTCAAAGTCATAACATTGAGCATCTGTTTTCAGTGGTGTATTTTTTGTCTATGACGATTTTTTCTTTGTTTTTGTTTGTCCACCTAACATTTAGCCCAAGTCTGGTCTAGGAATCTCTCTGTAGTTGGTGTTTTGTTGTGTATTTGAGGGGATCCGCATACATGTCTATCGACTTGCTGGCTGGCTGCTTGACTGACTGACTGTTTGGTTTAGTTGGTTGCTTGGCTATCTTGAATGGATTGCTGGCTGGCTGGCTGGCTGGCTTGGTGTTGTTATTATTATTGCTGTTGTTGTGTGTCTGTGAGCTCATGTGTATTTCGTGTATTGGAGGCATTTTGCAGAACGATTTAACATCACAGTCAGTCTTTAGTGGTACTTCGCGCTTCTTGCTGGTGCATGTTTCGCTACGTTCGCTTTGCACACCACCATCGCCACTATTCCGTCCATTCATCCAACCAGAAACCAAAAAGAATTTCATTACGTCGCCGTTACGTTTCGACCGTATTCGTCTGGTAGGCCCGTCTGATCGTTTTCTTATCATCCATATTGTCGTGGCATTGTTGTGTGGGGAGACAAAACGCATTTGCTGCATTAAACTGTCGAATGCCAACTAAACGGTGATCGTTTGCCTAACGTTTGGTGAGTGTGTGAAACCGATGAAAAAAAGCCGTCGCTCCGTTCGTTTCACAGGCTAAACAAAATAAAGCGTGACCGGTGAATTTAAGTTAGAGAGGTGGCCGCAAGTAAGGGCAGGTAATCGCCATATGATTGGGGTGTTAAAGATCCACAACAACAATAACAACAAGAGAAAATAAAGAAAAAACATACGCACGTGCGTTCAGCCGATAATAATCAGAAAAAAAACAATAAGAAATTAAAATAATAAAAAAAATATTTTCAAAATATAAACGCGAAAATAAAAAAAAAATAATTTTCTTAATTTTTTTTACGAATTTCCCTAGTTAAAAAAAATTTACTGTGCTCCAAATTATTTAAGAAAATATCATAAAAAAATATTAACTGCACACAAAAAAGAGTACCCACCAAAGCAAACACAGACTTTTCACACTTCCATAAATAAAAAGCAAACCCCCCAGCTTGTCAAATATCATCGCATACCACTGCAAAAATCTACAGAGCACAGAAATAAAAAAAAAAAACACGATAACGCAAAACACACCAAGAAAAAACAAATCTCAACCATAAAAAAGTTGTTTTCAAATAAAACAAAACGAAAAGATAAAAATGAAATACCTATCAACCAATACAAACATTCCATTTGACAATAAAGGTGTGGTTTAACCAATCGAGATGAAATGCACAGACACAGCACAGCTCAACACATCACACACTGAGTACAACAAAAGATCAATACAAATAAATAATAAAAACAGTTCACATAACTCAATAAACAAATGGGATTAGAGCAAATAAACAGCCAACAATACAACAGATAACAGCAGCAGCCGTAGCCGTAACCGTGGCCGCAGCAGACAAAGTTACAGCAGCTTACTAACAAACAACTCCCACTTTACACACGCTTAAGGCCGCTAAAAACGGAAACAATTTCCATCAAAAAAAAAAAAAAAAAAAAAAAAACAAAAATAAAATTAATTTGCAACACGATATCAATTATTTGGGGTTGCTAAATACATATTTAGAAAATAAATAAAAAAAAAAAAAACAAAATAGAAAAATTCAAAAGAGAAAAAAAAAAAACACACACAAAATATAAAAAATTTAATTTAATAAAGTAATTTAAATAAATTGAATATAAAATAAAAATAAATTATTGAAAACTCCTAAAACAGAAAAATTGCAAAATTTTTCCCAATCAAATAAATTTTTTCCTGCAAACGTTAAATATAACAGCCTAAATCTGGATTTTCATCAGGAAAGGTAAGTAAAAATAATTAGAGAAAATATTGCGGAAATTTATGATATTTTTAGTGGGAATGTGGAAAAAAATACATGAATGAAAAAGAATTTCGAATGCATACAATTTCCTGGTGGAATGTGGAAATAAATAATTTCAATTATTCTGAAATCTATTATAATTTTTTTTGTGGAGATATTAAACTAAAGAAAAATATATTTACTCAGGTTGACATATTTTTAGATATCTTCAAAAATGATACACGTGTTGCCATCTAGTGATAGTTTATAAAAACAATGTTTTGTCATTGCAATGTGAGGTTCTACTATTAAGTGTTAGAACATATTAGGCCATATTTCTTATTATTTTACTTTAAAAGTAGATTTCAAATCAAAAGACTTAAGACACAAACTTTTAATTTGCAATTGTTTACAATCGGGATTTTTAATAAAATTTTGAGATAAGTGAAGACAATTTTAATGGGAAATAGCGGTCGAAATTTTGATTTTATTTAAATTACATTAAACTTTTCTAATGGAAAGACTTGAGACACAAACTCTAGATTCATTATCATTTTCAAGAAAATGGAAAAGAAAAATAAATTTCAAAAAATAACCAAATTTTGAATTAAAGAAATAATTAAATCAAAAGATTTAAGACACAAACTTTAAATTTGCCACCATTTATAAATTAGAATTAAACAAAAATGAAACAGCTGGAAATAATATCAATGGCCGAAATTCAAAAATCAAACTCTTGAGAAGTTTGGAACAGAAAAATGAAATACCAAATATTAAACAAAGCTTATCTCAATAAAATAATTAAATCAAAAGAATTGAGACACAAACCTTAAATTTCCAAATGCTTTAAAATTGGATTTTTAATAAAAAATTTGAAATAGCTGCAAATAATATTAATGGAAAATAGCAGCCGAAATTACAAATAAAACTCCTTTCAACAATAGACTTGAGACACAAACTCTAGATGCATTATAATTTTCTAGGAAATGATTTTTTTGGGAAAAGAAAATTGAACTTTAAAAAAATAAATCAAAAGATTTAAGACACAAACATTAGACTTGCAACTGTTTATAAATTTAATTTTTAATAACATTTTGAAATTGCTGGAAAAATATTAATAGTAAATAGAGGCCGAAATTAAAATACTACTTTCTTGAAACACAATCTCTAGATTTTTTATTTATTTTTTTTTTTTTCAAGGAAATGATTTCTTGGAAAATCATCATCTTGGCTTTTGACCGAAACCACGAGGTCATGAAATTCAAGTTACATTTGCCCTATGTCGTCTTAAATGCCCAATGTTGTGTTAATGGTTCTATGATTTACTGCATCTCCGATAACGAAATCGGCATTAATGGGAAATTTAGAGGTGTATATTTAATGACTTTGTGATTTCGGTAATTTCGGTATTTTCTTACACAAAATTGTGGTCCATTTGACCAGCAAAATATTATCCGATGATCATCCAAAAAGCCAGAATTCAGCGCTTTTCTAAACTATAACCTTATAAAAAAGTCCACGTCCATTGGTCCTTGGATGAGAACTGTAGGGCGACTGCAAAATCTAGACAAAATTTAGGTTTCCGGTCCATTTTTAATCCTAAATATTCCGCGAACATCTTTCAAAACAGCAGGCTTCTAAACATGCGATAAAAAATCTGGTAAAAAAATAGTTAAGCCGTTCTGGAATTATAACCGGCATAAGTAATATCTCCTTCTTCTTTTATGTGTGATATATGCGAATCTTGGACATCAGCATCAAGGCTTAGAAGTGACATTATCGTGTTTTGCGATTTCGCTGGATTTAAAAATATTTGCGGTTTAATGGAAATTTTCGTATTTTTATACCCTCCACCTTGGAAGGAGGGTATATTAACTTTGTCATTCCGTTTGTAACATCCCTAAATATTCGTCGTAGACCCCACAAAGTATATATATTCATAATCAGCATAAAATTCTAAGTCGATTTAACCATGTCCGTCTGTCTGTCTGTCTGTCTGTTGAAATCGCTATACCGCTCACATTATTTGACGTAGATCGTCAAAATTTGGCAGAACAATTTGTATTGTGTCTAGGATGGTTAGTATTGAAAATGAGATATATCGGTCCACGTTCTGGTATAGTCCCCATATAACGGTACCTCCCGATATTCGGTATTTTGATGATTTATGCCACATTTTTTCACGGATTTATCTGAAAATTGGTATTTGTAGGTCATAACGGGTCCCTGAGCGTGTGGCAAAACATTGCATGTATAGGTCCACGTTTTGGTATAGCCCCCATATAACGGTACCTCCCGATATTCGGTATTTTGATGATTTATGCCTCATTTTTTCACTGATTTGTGTAAAAGTTGGTATTTGTGGGTCATAATGGGTCCTAGCTCGTGTGGCGAAACATTGTAATTATAGGTGCACGTGTTGGTGTAGCTCCCATATAACGATACCTCCCGATATTCGGCATTTTAATGGTTTTTGCCACATTTCTTCTAATGTTCTTTTACCCTAAGGTGGAGGGTATTAAAAGTTTGGCCCGGCCGAACTTAATGTTTTTTTACTTCTTTTACATAAAAGTTATAATCTTTTTCACCCTCTAAGTATTATTCGGTGACCAATCAAATTGGTAGGCTTCTTCCCAGCCCTAAATTCCAAGCTCATGCCAAATCTCGCATCGATTTTTCTGTTTTTCCCAACCTTAACTCTATGTAAAATTTCGTGAGGATCGGGCCATACTTGAGAAATAACACATAGTTAGATGACTGTATACGACGCTTAAATTGTAATTTACGAAGTTGTACTAAAATAATACATGTGGTGCCATCTGGTGCCATCTGGTGCCAGTTTATTGAACAATGTATTAATACATAGCACGGTAATTGGATTTCTCGTTGTTCTCACAAAATCTAAAATATAACACCGTTAATTTAATTGGACAAAAAAAATGTGTTACCTCGAAATATTGGATTAAGGCCTATCATGTAATACAGCGATAATCATATCTTCATGAGCTGAGTTGATATAACTGGTCAGTACATTTGGAAAAAAAAAATCCGTAACTTTGAGTGTGGCTCGCAAAATATATATGGTATGAAACGAATCGAAAACAGTTTTTTTACTGATGTTGCTGTTCTTAAACATTTCACAGATAGATATCAGTCAGCGAGGAAGTTACATTTGGTTTAAGTTAAGGACATAACTGAAGCCTTACATTTTATATTGTCATCAGATAATATTTCACGGGTGAAATGAACAATTTGCTTTGTGTGAAAAGAACCAAGAGCTGTCATTCAATCAAAAATATTTTCAATAATGAAGTTAATTTCCCGTGGGATCAAAATATTCATGAAAATTCCACTTTTGACCTTTGTATTGGTGGCGATTTTGTTGACGTATGTTATTACATATCGAAAATACATCAATATATAACTTTCTCTTATCCATACATTTATTTTAATTTATTTTAATCTCTCATATAATTTATTAAATATAATACTGTTAATAAACTCGTATATATTATTCGATTTTCCCTTTCCTTCACATATACAAATGTTATTTATTTGTCCAATAACTTCATTTTGAATTATAATTGTATTATACTATAATAATAATATAATAATAATAATAATAATAATAATAATAATAATAATAATAATAATAATAATAATAATAATAATAATAATAATAATAATAATAATAATAATAATATAATAATAATAATAATAATAATAATAATAATAATAATAATAATAATAATAATAATAATAATAATAATAATAATAATAATAATAATAATAATAATAATAATGTAATTTATAGTTATCCCGTGTCTCCCTCTCTATGCTCTCTCTTTCTATGTTCTCTCTCCACAAATATGTGGTGCAGGAATTTACTCTCCACAAGAAAATTAGTAGTGGGAGTTCGTGTCTTAAGTCTTTTGATTTTAAAGACTTTATCAGCGCTGCTCAAGAAAAAATATCTCTTTCCAGTCAAATTCATGTTTAAAAACAATTGAATGGAATCGTAAAATATAAAAAAAAAAAACAGAATTTTAATTTTCTCTTAAATTATCTCTTTTTTCGGCTCATGTTCTAGAAAACAGTTTGGGGTAGGACTGCCTTTATTATGATACATAAAGGATCTATAAATAAAAAATAAATTAATAAAATAATAAGCACTGGATATAAATGAAGAAATAAGTTAGAATTCCGTGTTTGATAGATTTGAATTCCCTAGAATACAAAGAAGGCCACTCCTGTTGTTTGTATTAAGAATTTCCACCCCAGTTTAACAAACCTTCATATTTATATAAATAAATACAGATTTTTGTTTCTATATATCTCAATAAATGTCGTTTTTTGCATGGGGTATCTAATATATATTTTTCAAAAATTCACTTTCTAATGTTTATTTTATGTGTTGTTTCTTCTCATCTACTGTTTCTTTTTTTCTGAATTTATAACGATTGCATCATTTTTTGATAAATGACTCTGTTTGAGACGTCTTTTCAAAAATTGCTTTAAATTCATCAGCAAATAAATAAGTTTCAATGATGCACAAAATTCTCATTCAATTATATTTTAATATTATTTTTTTGCACTGGGTTCATGAACTGGACCATGACATTAATATATATTTTAATTTTTTTTTTGGGAGAGGAGGATTAGAACCTTTAACACGTGCCGGTAATAGGTGAAACATTTTAATTGGGTAACAAAACAATATTTTTAATAAATTTTTGAATTTTTTTAACGATTGGAAAGTCCAGTTATAACTGAACTAACAGAATGTTAGCATATTTGTAATATTGTTCAATTGAATCAGTTTGAAAAGAGGTTTGTAAAAGACATGAATTAAGAAAAATCTAAAATTACGAATCTTAACACATTCTTTGCGGAGATATATCAGTTTTTGCTTTTTTTATTGAACATTTCATGCCCATCATTTTTAGCCTACTGATTCCTACTCGAGCAAAAGTTGTACTCCCATATACCATGGGCGATTGGGT